TGAATAGACAGCCTACGGAATGAGGGAAAATATTTGCTCTCTACACATCCGATAAAGGGCTGATAAAAAGAATCTATCTAGAACTTTAAAAAATCAACAAGAAAAAGTCAAACAACCCCATCAATAAATGGGCAAAGGAAATAAACAAAAACTTTTCTAAAGAAGACAGAATAATGGCCAGCTAACATATAAAAACAAATGCTCAACATCTCTAATCATTAGAGAAATGCAAATCAAAACCACAATGAGATATCACCTAACTCCAGTGAGATTAGCCTCTATCAAAAAAATCCCAAAACAACAAATGCTGGTGAGGATGTGGAGAGACAGGAACACTCTTATACTGCTGGTAGGACTGCAAATTAGTGCAACCTCTGTGGCAAAGAATTTGGAGATACCACAAAGAGCTAAAAATAGAAATACTATTCCATTCAGCAATAGCACTATTAGGCATCTACCCAAAAGAGCAAAAGACATTCCATAGTAAAGACATCTGCACCCAAATGTTTATGGCAGCACAATTCACAATTGCAAGGATGTGGAAACAACCCAAGTGCCCATCAATTCATGAGTGGATTATTAAAATTTGGTATATGTATACAGTGGAATATTACTCAATTATAAGAAACGATGGTGATATAGCACCTCTTATATTTTCCTGGATAGAGCTTGAGCCCATCCTCTGAAGTGAGGTATCACAAGAAGAGAAGAACAGGCTCCACGTGTACTCGTCATCAAATTGGCACTAATCAACACTATAGTGCTCACATGGTAGTAACATTCTCCAGGGATGAGGGGGTTGGGGATGTAATCTCACAACTAAGGGACGCAGTGAGTGTTGTAGAGGGGAAGGGCATGCCTCTAATTCTCACTTGAGTGAGACAAGGTCATGAAGTGTAACCAAAATGTTTGTACTCTCCTAATATACTGAAATAAAAATAAATTAAAAATAAAATAAAATACTCATATATTTAAAAATTTTACAAAGGATGGAAAAAGATAATCCATAAAAATAGCAATCAAAATGGAGCAGTAGTATCTATACTAATATCAGAGAAAATAGAGCAATCCACAAACTGTTACAAGAGACAAAATGAGACTTTATATAATGACAAAACACTTACAATTATATGTACACCAAACACCTGCACTCCTAAATATATGATAAAATCATTAACAGAATTTAAGGGACAAATAGAGAGGTCTTCAATCATAATTAGAGAACTTTAATACCTTACTTGCACAAATGGATAGAACCCGACAGAATATCAGTAAGGAAACCGAGGACTTGGACAACATTATAGACTAATTGGACACATGCAGCACATTCAACTATAGCTTAATACACATTTTTCTAAAGTACACATGAAACATTCTCCAGGATATGCGAACAAAGCAAAACCCAGGACCAGATAGCTTTACTGGAAAAGACAAAACATTTAAAGAAATAACATCAATCCTTTTCAAACTCTTCCAAAAAATTTAAAGAGGATATAACACTTCCTAGTACATCCTATAAAGCCAGCATTACCCTGATACTAAAGCCTGAGAAAAACACTATTAAAAAAGAAAACTATATACCAATATCTCTTATGAAATTGGATACAAAAATCTTTGACAAAATGTTAGCAAAATGAAATTATTTGAGACCTTCAATTTCTATTCTAGCAGAAGCCCAGAGGTCCCCATTCCATATTAAAACAAGTAAGAAGTTGAACAAGGTAAAAAACCAACAACTCCTCCTAGATCTGGAAGAGAAGTTAGGTCACAGGGCAAATCACAGTCTCAAAAATTGGGAAGACTAATAGCTGAATACAAAGAATCACAAGTTACTGGAGCAGAAACTTGCAGGTAGGAGCCTCCACAGTGCTAGAGTAGGGAAACCCAAACTGTAATTAAAGAATTACTGGAGGCTCAGTATGGACAAGTCTCAGACTCAAAAGCTCCAGGGGGACCCAGCCATAGGCAGGTCCCAACACTTTTGTGAGTTTTACCTGTTTGAGCTCTATCAGGTTCACCCTGTGAATATTGGAGAAAAATCCCCTAATGCTTCCAGCAGGGAGAGGAGCAAAGAAACCATTTTGAATTACGCCAGAGTATTTTGTTCTTCTTAAAAATGTCTGCCCAAAACTATTTAACCAAGAATAAAAACCAATTAATGTATACTATAACATCAACAAACTAAAGAAGAATAATCACATGATCATAACAATAGATGTAAAAAAGTTTGACAAAATCCAATACCCATTTATGATTTAAGAAAAAACTCTCAGTAAACTAGGAATAGAGGTGAATTTCCTCAAATTGATAAGGAATATCTTTTAAAAACTCTACAGCTAACATCATACTTAATATTGAGAAACTAGAAACTTCCCCACTAAGATCAGAATCAAGGGTAGGATGCCAAATCTCACCATTGCTTTCCAACATTGTACTGGAAGTCCTAGATAATATAATAAGACAAGACCAGGGAATAAAAGGTATACATTGGGAAGGAAGAAATAAAACTATATTTGTTTAGAGATAACATGATTATCTATATAGAAAATTCTAAACAATTTATGAAAGAAAATCCTTCTGGAACTAATAAGCAATTACAGTTAGTTTATAGGATATAAAGTTAATATACAAAAGTCAATTGCTTCCTATATACCAGTATTGAACAAGTAGAATTTAAAATTTAAAAAATACCATTTACATTAATATCCAAAAAATGAAATACTTAGGTATAATCCTAATATAAAATGTACAACATATATAAAGTAAATTGTAAAACTCTGATGAAAGAAATAAAATAAATAAATGGAGATACATTCCATGTTCATAGATAGAAAGACAATACTGTGGAGATGTTGAGTCTTCTAAGATTGACTGATTGATTCAAAATAATCCAAATTAAAATTCCAGCAAGTTATTTTGTGGCTATTGACAACCTGATTCTTAAGTTTATATGGAGAGGCAGAAGACCCAGAATAGCCAGCACCATTATTGAAGGTGAAGAAAGAAGTTGGAGGACTAACATTATCCAATTTCATGATTTACTATAAAGCTATAGTTATCAAGACAGTGTTGTATTGGAAAAAAGAATAGATAAATAGATCATTGAAACAGAATAGAGATCCCAGAAATACACCCACATAAATATAGTTGACTGATCTTTGACAAAGGAACGAAGTCAATACAATGAAGAAAATATAGGCTTTTCAATTAATGGTGCTAAAATAACTGAACATCCACAGGCACAAAATAAATCCATATCCAGACTTTACACTCTTCATAAAAATGAACTCCAATTTGATCACAGAACAAAATGTAAAACTCATAGTATAAAACTCATAGCATAAAACTCATAGTATATAACATAGAAGAAAATCTAGGTGATCCTGTGGTTGGCAATGACTTTTTAGATACAACATCAAGGGCACAATCCATGAAAGAAAGAATTGATAAAATAGACTTCATTAAAAGTAATATTTTCTTCTCTGTGAAAGACACTATCAAGGGAATAAAGAGACAAACCAAATATTTGCAAAACATACCTGATAAGGGTATGCTATCTAAAATATACAAAAAAGTCTTAATAATAAAATAATCTGATTTTAAAATGGGCCAAAAACCTTTACTAAAACTTCACCAAAGAAGATATACAGATGGCAAATACACATATGAAAAGATATTTAGCATCATATATCATCTGAAAAATTCAAATTAAAGCAGCAATGAGATACCATTAAACACCTGTTAGAATGCCAAAATCCCAAACACTGACAACACCAAACGCTGGCAAGAATTTGGAGCAACAGAACTTTCATTCATTGATGGTGGGAATACACCTCAAACTTGCCATGTCCAAGTCCAAAGTAAACAGCAACTTTGATTAATGTCTGTCTCCCACACTAGAGTGCACATTCCAGGTGGAGAGACTTTATTTTTACTCATAATTGTATTCTCAAAATATAGCATGGTGCCCAGTACATAGGGATTTAATAGCTGTTGAATTAATAAAACTTTAAGCATTGAACTAATAATTAGGAAATGGCATGATATAAAACAATTTAAAAATGTGATTCCTCTCATTCCCATCTGTATGAATATGAGAGTTATTCCCCAAGAAGAGTTACTGGATTGCAGTTGGACACTAACCTTGAGATTACCCTGGCTACTGCTTTAGTTCTAGGTCTTTAGTTCAGTGTCTTCTTCAACATTTAACTGAATTTACTATTGAATATTTATAACTTGTCTAGTGCAATGATTCCTGTATCTGTTACCTCCCATCAGTAACATTACATAAACACTGTTCAATTTCTTGGTTGGAAAGTATTAAATACTTGATGCTCACAAGTGAGATAGGAGATGGAAGTCACAGGGATAGGGATGGGGCTGAGGGAATGGGCTAGTTTATCTCAGGGCTCATACTCCATGGATTCAAGTCCTCCTTTGGGTACTAGTTTTAAATGAGTTTAACACCTGAACCTGTTTCTGCACTTGTAAAAACAGACACAGTATTAAAAATACCTTTAGTACAAATGTCTTGTGAGGATTATATGGGAAAAGGTCTCTGACATTACTTTTTAAACTGTAAAATGACACAAACATACATAATTATTCCAATGTAAATTTGGAAGTAATCCTAAAATAGCAGTGGAAGTGTGGAGGAGGCAGTTTCTGGCAAAGAGAATTTGTGGGCAACTATATTTTACAGTACATTTCAATTTTTGAATGAATAATGGGGCAAAGACAAACATTTTCTTTTTTTTTTTAAAAAAAGGAACTAAGAGTGCTTCTAAAATTTTATATTTAACCAGGCCATTTAGTGTCTGTACTTCTACCACATTTCAGTTTCCAGGAAATCCTTAACTGGAACTCCCTCATTGTCTCTCACTCTCCTCTCTAAGGCTCTAGCACTAACCTTACTAACTGCCAGTTTCCTGCAGGTGGGCGGTTACTAACTGCCTGGTTTCCTGCCGGCCAGGTTTTACGTCAGCAGATTGTGGCGCAGCACTGCCACGTGCGCGCCCAATTGTGAGGTCCCACGGCCTCACCAGAATATAAAGCTGGACATCTGAGAGCATCCCAGTTGCACCAGGCAGTGCGGGACCCCTAGCATCCTGGCCCGCAGCATCCCAAGTCCAGGAGGCTAGCGTCCCCCTGCTTCCCAACTGCCAGCTGAGTGCCTCCGTTCCCGAGAAGAGAGAAGAGGCGGAAGAGGAGCCATGGAAACCTTGTTAATCCTACCAAGCTGCGTTTTGATCGCCTTTCTAATTATCTTCTGGAAATATGGGTTTGAGGTAAAGATGTATGAGAGAGAGAATGGAATTAGTTGAAGCTAGATGAGTATGTGGATTGGGGAGTGTGTAAGAAAGTAGAAAAATAGTAAAATAAAAGTTAAAGGGAAATCACCTCATTCCTCTTTTTCACTTGAAAGCATCCCAGACTTTTATTCCTTACTCCCACAATTCCATTTTGACCAGTAATTTCAACAGTTGTGGTGGTCTGTAATAAAAAGTCCTAAGTCACTAAGTGATATGGACAGCTTTTCACTCACCTGGACGGAAGTGCAGCTGAAAGCACCCATTCCCCATCATCACCTCTCACTTTGAGAATCTGTACTTTCTTTTTCTTCTTTCCTATTGCCCTCACTGTGTGTCTGTTTCCTTCTCCTGCCGTCAGTATGGGAGCTTTCTGGGCATTCACAAATAATTTAGGGTAAATATAGATTTCCTCTTGTTATTTAAAGCCACAAGTGAAGTGCTTTTAGATAAGGTTCAAAGACAAAATCCATATGTAGACCTACTAAACTGCCCAAGAAATGTAAACAAAAGATGTGGTACTTTGGCGCTACAAGTCTACTTTCATATATTTTTTTTATTTCAGAATATTACAGAGGTACAAACGTTTTGGTTATATTTCTTTTGTACAGTTTGAATCAGTGTTATAAGTGTGCCCATCACCCACATAGTGTGAATTGTACCTGTTAACTGTGGATTTACTCCCCCCCTTCTACCTCCTTGATTTTCATTGAATTTTACATCCATATGTGCATATAAGTGTTGATTGATTAGTTTCAGTTTAATAGTGAGTACATGTGGTATTTGTTTCTCCATTCCTGTCATGCTTCACTTAGAAGAATGGTCTCCAGTTCTGTCTAGGTTGTTACAAAAGTTATTAATTCCCAATTTTTTTTATGGCTGAGTAGTATGCCATAGTAGTATGCCATAGTATACATATACTACATTTTATTAATCCAGTCACGTATTGATGGGCACTTGGGTTGATCTTTCATATATTTTTTAATCAGTCTGCATTTTGGAAAAATATATTTATGAGTCAATGTAGTCATTCAACACATTTTCAATTTCTAGCTCTTTGGTGAAATCAATTAATTTTGGTAACCAAGACTAACCAAGTTGTTATTTGGTAGTATTTGGAAATTGATAAATTCAATAAACTAAATATGGATAATTTCCTTCCTTTACAGAGAAACATTGGTGAAATATCAAATTCAACTTCTCTTGCACTAGTAAGAACCTCTTCTACTGGGTCAACTAAGAGCAATACTGATAAGAGTCTTTCAGTCAACAATCTCTCTCGGGATATCTTAAATAATTTCCCACACTCGATAGCCATGCAGAAGCGAATTTTGGTAAACCTCAGGATCGTGGAATACAAGCTGGCTGAATTGGAACATTTCCTAGTTACCAGGGGTTTAAATGGTGCATTAGTTAACCGGAAATCCACTGAAAAGCTTACGAGATGTAATGACAGTGGAGGCAACCATTAAAGACACTTTGAGTGCATTCACTTGATTATGTGTTTATACTAAATGGATTATTATTTGAAAGGGGAAGGGATGGAAAGTCAGATACAAAAATCCAGATATTTATTGATTTACATATTCACATTTTATTTAAAGAATTGATTACATTATGCTAATATATATTTTACTGGGGGAGGAATGGAAGCACAATAGAGAAAGAAATAGTTTAAAAGTTTTTAAAAATAAGCTATAGTAAAAATATAGTTGAGATATAATTATTTTAATTTCACTCATGTGAAAAACAGTTTTCTCTAATGGTTTACAGTACAATACTGCAATTGTCTCCACGTTTCCATTAAAGAAAGTGGGATTTGATGGAACTCTTTTCCATTATGCATACTGTTTCTTGCCACTGTTGAATTTGTGTGATAATAAGAGCTATCATTGAGCACCCTACAGTATGGTAAGCACTCCATTAAGATCTATGCTTTACACACTTGTGAAGATAATGACACAAACTCTTAACTACCTTTTGTGGTCAGATTTTAAAGGGGATTTTTTTCCTTTCCCACCTCCCGTCTTTCCCCAAATAGATATTCTTTCATTTAAAATGCCTAAATCTTCCCTGAATTGCAAGAGTCACCTATAGAAAATCGCATGCATTCTTCTATTTGGTAAAAAATCCACACCTCAGCACCAAAATATCATGGTAAAATGCATGTAGCATATTTGTAGGTTAAAATTAAGAAAAAAGTCTTTCTAAGCTATAGTTATCTATTTCAAATAATATTTATAAAATCCAATATAACTAAAGAAATAACAATCTCTTGAAGTTCACTGGCAGCATTAGACCTACCCTCAAAGAAAACCCTCAAAATATCAAACACTAGTTAATCTTTTATACACACACACACATACACACACACACACACCTCTCACTGAGATGGTTCAATTATAGGCTTACCTATTTACCTTCCTTCATACTCCCTGCCCCCCAAATACATTACCAGTATACATTATAGAAATGCCTTAATCCATTTACTCCTTTCATCTTCAATCAAAAGGAAAAGGAAAAGGACTTTAAAATGTATAAGAAAAATTATTCTTTCTATTGTCATTCATTTGCCAAGCACAAAAAGCCAGCAGTAGTATATGTGGTTCTTAAACTTTTGGGGGGGCACAGGTCTCTTTAATATTCCAATGAAAATTACGGACTCTCTCTCTAGAAAAATGCGTGTACACATAAACACAGAAAATGTTTTATATAATTTCCATTTCATATTTTCCCTGAATCCTAGGTCACGAACCTTAAGAATTGCTGAGAAGTTCCTTATATATGTAGGCAGTGTTTATCAACCTAGGCTGTGACATTTAAACCAATTGTCAATGATATATGATAAATGTATAAGGCTATTAGTTGTACATTTCATTATCTTTTGTAAGAAATCTAGGACATAGTACTTTCTAATTTGGTTTCCCTCACTCTTGACAAGTTTGACAAGTTTATCTCTTAATAGTATGTAAATAAGTAATCACCCATAAGTAGTAACTTATTCACATAAGACAAAATCATTCTGCTTGATCTATTAGCAATGTGTCACAACTATAAAATGCTAGATTTGATTAAAGCCATTTTCTCATTAACATTTTGGTCCATATTCTATTTGAAATACCTAATCAGATCAAAATAAAGCCTCCAATGTATTAGAAAAACAAGCTAATATGTATAAAACTGTTATTGTGAAATAGAAACAGTTATATGTGTAGGTGTTATACAGATAGTCTAAAAAGAAATATAATAAGCACATTGCTAAACATTAATAGATTCACATTTTTATATTGCATTCCTGCTTAAATGGGAAAACACTTATCACACTATTATGAATATAGTTATGAATATAGTATATACATTTTCTACTCAATTAACATACAAATAAATAAAATTTGCCCCTACTCTAAAAAAATCACATTATACGACCATGTATCTTTTAAAAGGAGATCTCATTCAGGTTTTCTACTGCCACTAATAGTAGGTATTTCATGGTCAGTCTCTTTATTAGGATCTATCATGTCTTTATATCTCTCCCCACGATGTCGTTCCAGGTATGGACCCCAGTTAGAAGCTGGTCTACAGCAGCTTACAATGCGCTGAAAGCAAAAACAAATTCTTATCTTAGAATTCAAGTATTACAATCTGTAAACAAGCAAATATTAAACTATACTTTTGTTTTAAAATTAAGTTTCTTTGCTAATGAAAATAATCGTAAAAAGTAAAAAGTGGTAGTCTAAATTCTTAATGATATACAGTCTACATTAAAAATACAAAAATCTAAAGAAAAAATTGTAATCAAATTTAACTGTTAATAGAATTATATTAACTACTAAACCAAAAAACTTAGTATGTAACTGATTTCAAAAGAAGGTGACTGGGCCCATTAGCATAATAGTGTTGCTACTCCATATCCTTACTAAATTCTCAGGCATTTTCATCCTGGCATCAGGATGAGGTGACATAAAGATCTAAACCAGTGTGTATACTTGGGATGTGTTTCAAGAACCAAGGAAAGGGAGCGAGCTCCAGGATCAAACCATTGATTTGGAAGGACTTTATTTAAATCTAACATTTCTAAACCTTCCTTGTCATTGTCCTAGTGAGATAACATAATCACCTCTATTCCTCTAGGCCTCTATGGAAGGGGGATGACTCAGGGTTTAGATAGAGTTCAAGATAGTTTAGCAAGCTAATTCCAGTCCAAATACACTATTAGGACATGTATCATAACCAGATGAGGTTTTAAATGTAGCGGTTATGGATAGGAAGCAAAAAGGTCATTTGCTTTGTGACATCTTTAGGAATACTCAGCACAAGTGAAGATAGCATGGTTATTATGTGCTAAGCACTCTAATAAGGCCTGAGGATACAGCAACAAGCAAGATCAGACTTCTCCCACAAGTAACTTATAGTCTAGTACTAGGAGACATGCAAATATATAAAGAATATAATACGATGTTATACGCTAGTAATAGATGATTGTATCAGGTATAGAAATAGCCAAACGAGTGATTAATTTTATCCCATATAATCTCATATTATCATCACATGAGTAAATTAATCTTTATTTTGTTAAGTACTTTGCATAAAGCATAAAAAAAATTTAACTTAATGTGCTTACTTGAAAGATATTTCCTTTAGCCTGAATTATTTTTACAACAGCCATAACTGGAATCCAAATAATGCAGAAAATAATCATACACCAGCCTAGAGCCACTCCCCAGTCAGGGTATGGAATATCACCATACTCGGGTCTTTGAAATTGTACCAGTGACCAGATAAAAATTGCCTGTGAAAGTAAAATATGAAAAGACAAAAACAAAGATTAGACTTTATTGCACTAACTATTCCAATTTGATTCCATTACTTACATGTCATTTATCAAATATTATTAAACTGAAAATACATTCAAGTAACTAAGATAATCAGGTAACAAGCTAGAAAATAACAATGAAATGAACCAAAATTAACTTCTGTTTTTACTTTGAATAAACTATTCCAAAATTTAATACCTTCATATATTCATAAAAATACAAATACTTGTTCAACATATATTTCAATAAAATATTTGATGATATGTCAGATTGAAAGTAAAATAACATCTGAAATTTTCTGTTATTGAGCTTTTAACTTTTATTTTTAGTACCATGGTTTTATTCTATGCCACAAGCTAGGCAGCATATCAAAGCATGTCAAAGTAAAGGACACTTAAGACACTTTAGTGGACATGTTTCCCTCTTTGCTTAGTGGTTGTTTCTTTCCCATGACCTCTTTTGCCACCTCAAAAATACAAATGCATTTACACATACTACCAGTATATGTTTACCAAAGCACACTTCACTTTTAGACTCTTATTGAGGGAAAAAAAAGTTCAATATATGTTTAGATAATACAGTGAAATCCGAATCTTAAAAGGAAAACACCTTAAGGCCAAGTTAAGTGTTAAAAAGACTTACTAGAAATGTTGATGCATTAAAACTAATTGCTTAAGGCCGGGCGCTGTGGCTCACGCCTGTAATCCTAGCTCTTGGGAGGCCGAGGCGGGCGGATTGCTCAAGGTCAGGAGTTCAAAACCAGCCTGAGCAAGAGCGAGACCCCGTCTCTACTATAAATAGAAAGAAATTAATTGGCCAACTGATATATATATAAAAAATTAGCCGGGCATGGTGGCACATGCCTGTAGTCCCAGCTACTCGGGAGGCTGAGGCAGAAGGATCACTCAAGCCCAGGAGTTTGAGGTTGCTGTGAGCTAGGCTGACGCCACGGCACTCACTCTAGCCTGGACAACAAAGTGAGACTCTGTCTCAAAAAAAACTAATTGCTTAAAAATCTGAAAAGGAAAACAAAAAAACCAAAACACAAAAATTACCTAGTAGTTTCCCTAATTTTAGCTGCCTTTGTTTTACAAAATTAATGTGAAAACAATAGATTGTAAGAATCTTTGTAAATAGATATGCAGGTTTAATTTTAAAATGAAATAGATTAATTTTACTAATTCAATTTAATTATAATAATTCAAATGTGTTTCACAATTACTATAATTGTACATAACTACAAGAGAATGAATAGTGTAGTCTAATATACATGACTACAAAATAAATGATGATAATATTTAATACTTTTGTATTTTAAATTAAATTCAGGTGTCAAACCTATGTAATCAATGAAAATGAGCTAGTTAAGAAGTCTAGTTAGATCTTCTAGGTTGATAAGAGGCTTATTTTATTGAGATTTGTTACATTAGAAAAATGATACTTAGCAGCACTTTCAAAGTAATTTAGCAAGAATATGGAACATCCAAATATTGTAATTCAGCACGTCAAGTCCCAAACTACCCGTTACTTGAGACTGATCTCATGTTTTTTTAAAAAAACTTAATATTCCCTAAAAATCAAAAAATATGATACTTCAGATATGAAGCAAATCCTGGATCAAATTACTTAATGGTCTTTTCTAGGAAAACCTTTGTAGCATAAAGTCAATGAAAACCAAAATACATTGGTTTGGAGCTCTGCCACTGCCCCACCCCCACCATTATCTCCAGTTCATAGTTATTCTTCATCTTGTGAAGTGTTTATTTTGGCACTTGGCCATTCAGGACATTAAGTCCTGAACTATTATTTGATTTCATGTCCATGTGTCACATCTCTCCAGTAAGACATCTTTTGCTTTCCCTCAGCAACTAAATAGTACCAATTGTTGAATTTTATTAACATAAACCATTGCCTCTGCTGCCTCTATTGACACAAGTGAGTTTCTTTTAGTAATTTCAGACACCTAAATACCTTCCCCAGAAAAATAAAAAATACACATTAAAAGATAATAGTTGTTTCTTATCAATCAGTATATTTAAACTAAATTCCTTGAAGGCAGGATCTGGGCCTTATGTATCATTGTATTTTCTTTACAAGGCAAAGATATTAGGAACATTATCGATGGCTCAGCATATTTTTAGGGAATGAGCAAATTCATTATTTTCATTTGATAATTTTTATCCTATTGATAATTTTTAACTTTTAAGTCTATAGGAGCCTATTTATTTTCTCAAATGGTAAATGTTTAAACCCATGGACTCAAAAATAATACGGCAAAGGCATTTTAATTTAGGCAACTTGGAGTTACGGCCATAAATACTGCAAAACTTGAAAACCATCCATTTATGTTATTAATTTACCTTTTGTCTCCAGTGTGAATTATGTTTAAATGTCTATATTACTGATACCCAATTCATGGTATACTAATACTTACAATCAAAAGGATAGGCGTAATGACAAACCAGCAAGCTCTCCACCATAGCCAGAATATCCACCTCTTTGCTCCAATCATCATTTCTATATCTTCAATGAATCTGTTCCCTCCTAAAGAAAACATCATTACAGCAGCAGAACAGGCCCAGTAAAAAAAAAAGAAAACATCAAAGAGTACAATGAGTGCTTGCTCATGTTTTCCTCCAAAAAATTATTGTGACTCTAATTCTTTCTATGTCTAAACATTTTCCTATACCACAACAACTAAGCATACACCTGCAAGTACATTTTTTATAATATATTTTTGCCCAGTATATTCTACTTTACTATTATCATAGTGTAATTATTAGTGTAATTATATAAACATAATGAAAAGGAATCAAACTAAACTATTTTAATAAAATTTGCAAATAATTATTATAGTCACTATTTACCATAAATCCAGATGATTCCTACTATTTCCAGTATAGCTGCAATCAAAATGCCCCATCCAGCACAGAAGTGGTCAATCAGATTAACCCAGTAAATTCCAGCCTATCAAAAAAATATGAATTACTTCTAAGTATTTTAATTATTTTTATGATTGATGAGGTATTCAATTGAATCTATTAATTTTATCTTAACATATGCTCCTTTGTTTCACTTCTGCTACAATACAAAAAGAAATGCTTCAAATATAAATGCAAATGTGGCTTTAAATATCTCAAAAACTATTATTCAATACTAAGTCAGTGGGGAGAAAATAAGCATTTAGAACAGTTGATTATCAAAACAATATGCAATATCCGTATGTTCTGTAGTAGCTACCAAAAAACATATACTATATGTGTAAAGTCAATAATCTCATTGTAATTGGGGAAATTGCCCATTATTGGGCCTCCTCCTCTACAAACTATGCAAACTAACAAAGTTATAATGGGAAAAATTAAGCTAAAACTCAGAAAACCTTATCTAAGTCAGACTTGGACTTGTCACTAAGTATGCTCTTTAAGCCTTGGTTTCCTTACTCAGATTATAAAGTATGTTCTAACTAAAATTTTATCTATGAAAAAATGCCATAGTATACCTGAGTCACACACATGAGACCAAGTAGAAACAAAATCAAGCAGCAACCCAACGTTATGGGAACTCTCATTTTCTTCATCACTTTGGGAAATAAATCTTGAATTGTTGTTATAATCGTTTCTTCAGAGAGAAAAAAATGACATGTTATACGTCAACTCGTTTGCCAATAAGGTTAATCACAGAATTCAACTTCTATTAATCAAATTTACAAATATATGTTGAGAATATGCTTTGGGCCCTGCTCCTTGCTTTTAAAAATCCATAGACTCCTTTCTTTTGACAGTCAATATTTGCTGGTTCTAATGAAAATCAAATGTAGCTCTATTTTTTGTTTTTAGTCTATTTTATAAGGTTTTTTATTGATAGCAACTAAAAGATAACAGGCCCCTGTGGGCTCAAGTAGTTTGAAAGAGGGTTATAGGGAAAGAAGAATTCTAATAGGACTCTTAAATAAGGTTAATATTTGAATAGGTGACATGGAGACAAAGGATTCTAGGTTTAAGAAACAAATGTGTTCATTAAATAGGGAACTGGCTAAGAGTAGAAGGATGTAGAAGTGAAAAGATTAGTAAATATATTTGGACTTTTTGAGGGCTTTGAAAGCCAGTCAGAAAAATCCAGACTTTATCCTATAAACAGAGTAAACTATGAAAATGTTTTATGTAAGAGAGTTGAAAATTATGTAAGATATGTTGAAAATTGTTTCAGAATTTCTAGTCATGCACCCTAGGTAAAATCCCTATGTGTACATAGAACCATATGCAAGGATAGTCATTGCAGCAGTGTGTGTAGTAAAGGAAAAATTAGAAATAATCCAATTGCCCATGATATGACAACAAAGAGACTATGAATTAACTAGACCTAGACCTGCCCACGTATTGACATGGATTCATATTACCTGTAAAAAACAACTTTCTGAGTAATATGCATGAAAAGTCACATTTATGTGAATTTTTTAAAATTTATTTTATTTATGGATACATATAAAATATATACAAACAAGGACTGAATAACATATACAATCCATGGTGACAGTTGCTTCTAGGAAAGAATGTGAATTATATGATGGAGAGAAGCACATGGGACTTCAAATTCACCTGTAACAGTTTATTTTCTTTAAAAATCTGAAACAAGTATGATAAAATATTAAAGTTTGTTTGTTTTGAGTGTCAGGCACATGAGTACTTTGTATTTTTCTGTATTTAAAATTAAGTTTAAAAAATACTTTCAGGGCCGGGCGCGGTGGCTCACGCCTGTAATCCTAGCTCTCTGGGAGGCCGAGGCGGGCGGATTGCTCGAGGTCAGGAGTTCGAAACCAGCCTGAGCAAGAGTGAGACCCTGTCTCTACTATAAATAGAAAGAAATTAATTGGCCAACTAATATATATACAAAAAATTAGCCGGGCATGGTGGCGAATGCCTGTAGTCCCAGCTACTCGGGAGGCTGAGGCAGGAGGATTGCTTGAGCCCAGGAGTTTGAGGTTGCTGTGAGCTAGACTGACGCCACGGCACTCACTCTAGCCTGGGCAATAAAGTGAGACTCTGTCTAAAAAAAAAAAAAAAAAATACTTTCAGAAAGACCATTCTGAGAGTGACAGCTAGAGGGGGCAATAGGGGTAAGAAAAGTATATTTTCAAGTAGAGGATACATGAATAAAGAAAGTACAAGTGGGATATGTTAACACTGGAGATATTACTTACCAATGGAAGCAAACTGAGAATCAAGACCCAAAGTTAAAAGCATGAAGAAAAATAGTATGGACCAAAATGGACCACCTGGGAGTTGGGCTAGAGCTTCTGGATAAGCAATGAATGCCAAGTCAAAACCTAAGAAAAATGTATGAAATTTTAAGTTAGTTGCCAAGAAAATTCACATATTTAAACATTTTTTAAAATATGATCCTAAAAAAATCTCATTTTAATTTGACAACATAATTTATGACATTCTTTACAACTATTTCATTTTTTAAAATACTCAACTTGGTTATTTTATGATGATGTGAACATGTGACATGATTTAAGCTAGTGAGACAAATTTTATATGTGGTACATTTCTCATATAAGAAATTTTAACTCTTAATGGTTTTATTTAACTGATTTAATTTTTTAAGGTTGATGAAGAACAATTGTCTTAAACTCCAGAAATCTAAATTAAGTTGTCTTGTCTTAGCATAGAAATTCTAAAAGAATTGCACTCTCAATAAAGATAAATTTATGGAACTTTTTCTCTAAATGTTTATCCAGAATTGCTATAAGTAGTGCCATTTTAATCAATATATGGATATATGCTAAATTGAATATAACGAAACTAAAATTAAATCTTGTTTTGTTTGATGCTACTTTTAGAACTTTTTTATTTTGTCTCAATTCTGTGACCCTCTGATTTATGTATTTTTAAATTTCTGTAATCTCCCAGAGGACTAACCTAAGATTCATGAAAATTAGCTTCTAGTGTAAGCACTATCACTTCCTAAATATTTGTCCTTCTGAGACATATATATACATATATATATGAAAGAACATTTCTGTACATCAATCCACCCTCTGTAAATGGGGAGTTGGACACTGGATAACTACAAGATCCCTTCTAGTCCTGACATTCTGTTATCATTCACTCTATAGTTAAGCATCGCTACCTAATGTCTTTAAAGTTAGGAAATTCATTAATCAGATTCCTTAAAGCTAAACACAGCTGGACACTCAAAGTCACTTGAATCTCTATGGATATGATATTGATGTGTTTTAAAAATTCTGACCCAATACTGTAATTGTATATAGAAGAACTTATATATACATTGTCTTTCTCTTATAATACATGGAAAGAGGTTGCATGATGCCTGAAATTTGTAATTGTGCCTAAGTGGTTCATATTAAGGACTAAAGAAAATCTAGATCATTTTATGTTCTTAAGCAATTGTTCCTTAATATACTCTTGTTTACCCAGATTATCTAAGAATTATATTACTAAAACAACCAAATTATATAAGATAAAATGAAAAAGAAAACATAATACCTTAAGAATCATGATTGTTTTAAGTAAATTCCAGGAAACTATATTAGAGTTTCATAAGTGAGCTACATTAAATTAATCAAAGTTGATAATATATAGCATTATATACCTGATTTTACAACTTGAGAGACTTCCTTTCCAGATATATGAGCCATGTGTCCCAATATAGAAAATATAGCAAATCCAGCAAACACACTAGTGAGACAGTTTGTCAAACAAACTACAATGGCGTCAGAGAAGCAGTTGTTATTGAACTTGTTGTAAGATGACAGAGCAACTAAGCCACCCCAAGCCACTGAAAGGGAGTAAAATATTTGAGTGGCAGCATCTTTCCATACCTATAAGAGAAAATAATTTAATATTTTAAAACATATCCTCAATTTTCATTTGTATAAATAGTTCACATATACATATGAATATATAAGTAACAATGAAATGAACACCCAAGTGCTCACTACCCAGCTTAAGAAATAAAATGTTACCAGTCTTAAAGCCATTTTGCGCCTCTTCCTGATCATATATTACCCTTTCAGCCCCCAGGGGTAACTACTATCCTGACTTTTGTGTTCATGATTTCTTTCTTCTTTATATTTAACTTTGCATGTTTTGGGATTTATAGAAAAGTTATCTGAATGCATGTAAACATATACAACTTGCCATTTTCTTCATTCAGTATTATAACATTTATCTGTTATCAAGTTGAACTGTATAAAATTAATTTTTATAATTCAAGATGAAAGAATATAAGCAATTCATGTGGTTCAATTAAATATATGTAGTTTCAATCATTCTATTCTACTTCTCTATTGTCCCACTGTATATCACAATTTATCCTTTCTCCTGTTCATGGACATTTAGGTTATTCAATATGTTGCTATTATGTAGCTGTGAACATTTGTGTACATGTCTCCTCATATATAGGAAACTATGATGTCAAAGAGTTCTATGCATCCTCTGTTTTACCAAATCTTGCCAAAGTGTTCTTCAAAGTGATCGTGCCATTTTACACTCCCACCAGCTGAGTATGGGCGTTCATATTTCTCCACATTCTTGCCAACACATGTTCAAAATTTTTAATATGATCCAGTCTAGTGACTGTGAAATAAAAGTTTTGATTACCCTAATTATTTATAAGGGTTAACATTTTTTCCGTGTTATTTTCCACAGAAATTTTTTTCTGAAGAAGTCCTCTTCATGTCTTTTGCCAATGTTTTTGTTTAGATTGTCTCACTTGATTTCTAGGAACTTTTATGTAATTTGGATTCTAATTCTTTGTCTATTATATATGTTTTTTTCTCCGAATTTGTGACTTAATTTTTCACCTTTGTACAGTGTGTCCTTTAATGAACCAGTTTTTGTTGTTGGCTTAATGTAGCTGAAGGCATTGATCTTTGATTATATGTATTATCCTTAATCTCTGTTACTTTTTTAAAAACTCCCTAGTCCATGGTTATAAAGATGTGATTCTATATCTTCTTCTAAAAGACTTAAAGTTTTACCTATATTGTTAAATTTTCAATTCATCTACAGTTGATATTGTACATACTAAGATGTAGAATTTTTAATTCATAGTTTTCCTAAATGAGATATTAGTTGTTCAAGTATAACTGATATTGTCAATTATATCAATTAGATATCAATTGTGTATCAGAGTTTTATCAATTGAATAATCCATCTTTCTCCATTGATGTGCATTGCCACCTCTACCGCATACTAAGTTCCATTTGTTTGTGAATCTATTTCTGAGATTACTGTCCTGCTCTACTGGTCTATATGTCTATACCTATGCTAACACCTCATTATTTTAATAATTACTGCATTATAATATTGTTTCATATGTGGTAAGACAAATCCTCCTCACTTCTTCCTCTCATATACCTTGGGGTTTTGCCCTCTTTCTCTTCCACATAAATTTAACAATCAGTTTTCAACTTCTACAGAAAACCATGTTGGGAATTTAACATATCAATTTGTGGTAAATAGAGACATTAATTCTTAACAAGGCTAATACTAGTCAATTTCTGAAGTATGATGATATGTTTAAGCACCCCTTAGATTGCCCTGTTTTCTTATTTCTTGCTTTGATTAGTGCTTCATATCACTGGCCTCATCTCTTCGGGCAGACCCCATACTCTTCATCTAATTGCATCCCTTTCACAATTTTCTCCCATGTCTTTGTTAAAGGACAATAATTAATCTTAGAAACTGACTTAGATTAATTAATTTAACAGTTTCTGTGGATATAACATTACCCCAAAGGAAAAGAATCTAATTGCACAGATTTCAAATAACAGAGCTGGTATATATTGGGCACAAGTGTCTTTTTAATCCTTTAAAAACAGGAGTCATCAGTGGAAGGCAAGCAATATAACATGGTGACTAAGAGTTCTGGCTCTGGAGTCAGAAAGAATAAGATTTACATCCAACACCTCTCACTTCCCTTTGATTTCAATTTATTTTAACTCTTTAAGCCTGTTTTTCCATCTATAAAATGGAAATAATAATAATGATAGTGTCCACGTTATGATATGAGAATAGAATGAGAGAACACATGCAAAGCAATTATCAGGATGCTCAATAGTAGCTATTATTGTTATTATGGGAAATAATCGTAAAGTGATATTTGTTTCTTATATATAAGTTAAAAATAATTTTCCCTTTCAATATTATCTCAATGGAAACAAAGTTGTTAGGGAGTAAAATAAATGTTGCTAGGTCTTCAGAATACAGCTTAATGTTAGACTGCCAGAATCCAGTATAAAACAACATGCATGGATAGATACATAGATAGATAAGTAGATTAAAGTTATTTTACTTATATATAACAAAATCATATTAGAAATAAAACGCCCTCTTATTTCTTAGCCTGATATCCATATTAAAAGATGAACAGCATGCTAATGTTGATCTCTGAGCTTCTTTTACTTGATATATTATGTATGTTTATGTGATATAGGGGGAGCTGGAAGTGGTTGCAGCAGTTCTGGGTTGTGTAAGAATACTACTGCATACCATGATGTGTACCTGGGTTGCAAACAAAAGTGAAAAGAAATTCCAAATATAGTTATAATCTTCACATCTATCAATCTCAATCTCATACCTATATATAAGATTAGATATTAGGAAATAATAATAATTCAAGTTTCACTAGCTGGCTGTGTATACTTAGCTAAATTTGAATTTTTCTGTCTTTTAGTTTCATCACTGTAAAATGAGTTAGAAAAATAATCTCTGAACACCCCTCTAGCTATAAATTTATATGATTATCTGCTCTCCTGGAGATCACAATAGAGTTCAGATACTTAAGGAAAAGGAAAAATATATATGATTATAATTCTCTGTTTAGAATATAGATTGTGAAGAATAAAGGAAAATCTAAGGAAAATAATTCTCATTGCCAGCAAACCCAAAAGGGAAAGAGTGGGGTCTTGTTGTCTTGGAGAGTGGAGAGATGGGAAGATTAAATTTTATGTTTCATAAGGAAGGACCTTTAGGTTTAGCTCTGATGTTTTAAAGATAATAAAGACACTGAAACAGAGACCCATGTAAAATTGTCATATAATGTTTTCAGAATAGTTTCAAGGAAGTATAAAGCCCAGGTGTTTGAGGCTTGAGAAAGCCACTTAAAGAATATCAAAGGGGCTTTTCAACTATGCTCAAAGTTCTGAGGTTTAAAGAAGATGGTGAGTCTACTTCTTGGGGAAAATGTTGCAACTATAATAATAAAATAGAACAGCAATAATTGAAATAATTGTATATTGGCTCAAATTTATAAAAGATTTTACCATTTTCAAAGTGCATTAACATATTTTATCTTGTTTAATAACCTAACAGAGAGAAGTTGATGAATCCCAGCTTCCATTTTATTTGTTTCTTAGTAACCATTCAAAATCGTCTTCGACTTGCAGAAAGTTTAACAGAAATGGTTAAAAAGAGTGAGGCCCAAGATAAATGAAGAAATAAATTAAGATGGCCTGTGAACACATCAAAATACATTGATCTCCAAGACCAAAATAATAAAATTCTATAGTTCTAAAATAATTTAGAGCTATTGTGGTTAATCATTGAGTGAAAATTATGGAGCACAAGAAAGGTAACCAAAAACCAGAGATTGAAATTTCAGTTTTCAAAAAGGTAAAGAAATGACAGATTTCTACAACTAAAGGCCGATAAGTTTCACATTGCCTACCAGGAAAATCCTACAACAAATAGTTACATATCTGATTGTAAGTATTTAGAAAAGAAAACAGCAATGGCTTAAAATTAGCATGAGTTCTATGAAGAATAACCATAGCAAACTAAAACTAATATTCATTTTTAATCGCACTACTAGTGAGGCAGATAATAACACAGTGCTTCTTGATTTCAACATAAGATTGTGGGATTTTAGCTGGTCAGAAACTTAATATGCACCAAGAATGTTATGTGACTGCTGAAAAAGTGAAAGCATTCCTAGGCCATATCAATAGAAGCATAGTATCTGGAGTACACTTATTGTTAATGCTCTCTGCAGTCAAAATTGTAAAATATTTTATATACCCATGACACCCTTCAGCTTTTATCTGGAAATAGATTAAAGTTAAAAGAGGGTTACCCAATTTATGTTTGTGGCATGTGTTTAGGTTTCAGCTACAAGTAATAGTTTTGTTTATGGAATTCTTAATACATGTCAAATTTGTGTTTTAACTTCACAATCCATTAGGCAAATTTTGAGGGGGGGAGAAGTGGAGAAATAATTTTTATTTACTTTAAATAGTACTTTAAATAGGTATACATAAAACAAATTTGACAGGGTGCAAAGCCAAGCCACAAGAAGAGGTCTTTTTATATAACATGCTTTTAGTCATACATGTGAGATAACTTTTGAAGACAATTAAAATGTATATTAGACTATTAAACTTTCAATGATAATGTTTAAAGCTATTATGAATTTATTGAATAAATTAATAGTCCTAGTCATCAATTTGCAGGTATTTATGCATGAAATATTCTTTTTAGATTAATAAGCCCCAATCCTTTTGGTCAAATAGAATCAGTGATATGAATAAAATGACTTTTAAAATCCTATTCAAAATTATCCCTCTTACAATAAGAAAGCATTAATGTGATGTTAAATAGCTAAATCAGACATCCTAGTGGATAAAAACTCTACTAAATATAACTACATAATATTTTGCAGGCTAGTACATTATGATACTCATATAGAACCAAAGATTTTTGGTATTTGCTTTTAAGGTTTACTTCCTCAGATAATTTGAAATCCAATTTAAGTCTTACCTCAGCTTCCCTAAGTTTTGTAAAATTTGACTGTGCTCCAATGTAGTATGAAATGCCTTTTGATGCACCTTCTAGTGTTGCACCTCGTATTAATAGGATGAGCAGGACCACATAGGGGAAAAGAGCTGTAAAATATACCACCTATCAGGAAAAACAACCAAAAGTCGACGTTATTTTTTTAAATCATGATAAATATCATGATATATAATAGCAAATAGATAAAATTAAGCAAGTTGAGATTAGTAAAATAAAGTACTGAGGATTTCATACGGTCATTAATAACTCTAATGATACTAATATCAATGTTAGCATAATTTCCTATTTGTGTTCTCACCATTCTCGAATGAACCATTTTCAAAAACATTTTGATGTATGAAGGAATGTTTCCTAGATTCATGTTGTAAATAAACAACATGTCAACAGTGATAACTTGGAATATAGATAGAATGCTTTTCTAAATATATCCTTATAAATGTCTAAGGGGACTGAATGTCTCCTCTCAGTAAAGTACTGCATTGACATGAGAAGGGAAATGATTTTAAACTCTACAATGATTGGTATATATTCAGCCCCCAAGCAGAAGGAATATATCTCGTAGTAAATGTCTAAATCCCATAAAAGCTTATTAAAGTGAATACTGGACACTTGTTACTGTTATCCTTACAACTACCATTAAGAGAGTTTGATAGCACACATACAAGCACACTGCTTTTTTTCTAGATAACACTTTTTATCTGCTTGTAGTTCCATATGAGCAGATTACCTTTGAGGCTGGCTTTTCATTAATGTAGATGATTTCTTTGATCCATATATGTCCTATGTTTGATAAAATGCCCAAGGATACAATTTAAACTAGTCATCCAGAGACCAATAAAAATTAATTGCCTGGATAAATGGCCTTTAATAGACTTCTTAAAATATTAATGTCAGAAAGGAACCAAGAGTTTCAAAACATTTTGGAAAGTTTCCACTGTACTTGTGATGTTCACAGTATTTTTGTGATCTAGCAGCATGTCTCATTACAACTTAACATGCCAGATATTGTACTAGAAATACAAAGATAGGATCCACAGTTATTCCTGGTCTCTATCTTTAAGGAAATTTCAGTCAACTGGTTAAAAACACACAAACATTCATTTTTCTGGGTACTGTGTAACTGCTCCCAGAGAAAATTTCATGTTGCTCTCTTAAATTGACATCATGCTCTATGAAAAATTTAAAATTCAACAATGAGGCAGGAAAATAGAATGTTTTTCAGAAGAGGCCCCTTCACTTGGAGAGAAGGTTCTGAGTCAATCTTGGCAAGCTTTAATTTAAGAGAGGATCTCTCTCAATCTCTCTTTCTCTCTCCTCCCAACTAGTACAGTCCCAATACTCTTACCCTATTATAACAAGGCTCTAGACTTTCCAAACTAAACATTGCAATATATAATTCCATTCAAGATGCTTCTTTATGTAGTGGGACAGAAAATATATACCCTCAAGCCTCAGAATGCTGTATTAGCTGGAATGGCTCAAGTTTTGAGTGATTGAACAGCTCTAATACTAGTTTTTGTTTGTTTTGCTTTTAACAACAGCAATGATCTTTGCATTTACTTAGAGGTAGGATGCCTACTTACAAAGCTTTTCACACATTTGAATACTTCCATTATAGAAAAAAACATGCATTTGATAATGCTTGACATTGAACTACAATGAAATTGGAAAGCAGCTACATCACTATCTAATGTGTTTTCCAAATTACCTTGCCAGAAGACTTGATTCCTTTAAATAATGCTGCTCCAACTATCAGCCAAGCCAGAAGAAGACAAAGTGCTAAATACCACACAATTACTCCAGTCTCATCCATTCCACTTGACCGTTGGAGTGCCACTTTACTGAAACACATAAGTCCTTTTATGAATACAGAATCAGTTGTCTTAAAAAAAATACATTGAATTTTGTGATATTTTTCATCCAGGGAGAAGTTTCATGAGTATTATATCTTATTGATACATCAGTGTCCTATGAGCCTCTTATTGATAGATAATATTATATGAAGGGAAATATAATTTATTAAAAAGCCAGGCTTTGAACTTCAGAGTTAACCAAAGACAATCTAAAATTCTAAGCCCTAGAATAAAAGATCCAATGATTCCTTCAGCTATGATTTTTCCCTAACATTTCAAGATCCTTTATGTAAACAAATTAACCTTATATCAGATTATTTCATTTTCTTCATTTCAATATTTTTCTCAAGTTAAAATAATGAAGAAACATTTAAAATTTTATTTAATATTTCCTTATACCATACTTGTAGATACCATCAAAACACAATGGTCCCATTATTCATATCTTTTTCACAGGTTTTCTATAGGCATAGATCTAGGATTTTAATTCTAAGCTTGATATTTGAGAACATTTCAAAAACCAAAATGTAAAAGAATCACAAAGGACATTAACTTGCAAATGAGGAAGAGCTTATTCGGCAATAGGGTCAAGAATGTTAGGTAAGGGTATAGAGTAAGGAGAGTAAAGAGAGATCATTTAAAATTCATAAAAGTAGGCCGGGCGCTGTGGCTCACGCCTGTAATCCTAGCTCTTGGGAGGCCGAGGCGGGCGGATTGCTCAAGGTCAGGAGTTCAAAACCAGCCTGAGCAAGAGCGAGACCCCGTCTCTACTATAAATAGAAAGAAATTAATTGGCCAACTGATATATATATAAAAAATTAGCCGGGCATGGTGGCGCATGCCTGTAGTCCCAGCTACCCGGGAGGCTGAGGCAGAAGGATCACTCGAGCCCAGGAGTTTGAGGTTGCTGTGAGCTAGGACGCCACGGCACTCACTCTAGCCTGGGCAACAAAGCGAGACTCTGTCTCAAAAAAAAAAAAAAAAAAAAAAAAATTCATAAAAGTAAATATAACCCCAAATATCTATTCTTACTAGATAATGACAACTGTAAGCAAAACAGATGAAGAATTACAGCTTTAAAGGCAACTTTGCCCCAAATATTACTCATCACCCAATTGTTTATCATTAGAACTTGTTCATTATCATCTCAAATTTGGAAATTTTTTCTTCAAAGCAAGTCCCTAATTTATAGCAAGTATGTACTAAACAAATCATAACTGACACTGTTATGCCCATTTAATAACTAATTTATAAAAGACAAATTGCTGACTATGATCTAATTTTACAGTTAACTACAATTTACCTAGGGTAGGTAAGCATAACTCAAATGAAGTATAATTTGCAATGATTCCCCTTTTTCTATTTATGTGAATTAAGACAGAGGCCAATTAATATTTTGTTGTTGTTTATCAGAACATTTTAATAACATCTGCTTAAGAGTAAATCATCTAGTGTACTTACTTCCAATATTGTTCACTGGGAAGCTGCCCTGGCTGATAAACTTCACTGCCATTGATGCAGGTAAAATTGTTAGTATCTACCCAGCTTTTATTCATTTGGATGATATATCCCATTCCTGTACTCACATTACAGTGAGTTACTAAAAATGATAAAAAAAAAAAATACAGACACAGACATGTACTTAGTTTTAGAAGAGTACTTACTGAGAAAAAAAGTTTTCATGGTAAAACATTTAAATTACCATCTAAGTTGTTACTTGGTGAAAGTGGAGAAATCTTCCAAATGTAATAAACCATATACACTCAGCATCTTAAATCTTCTCTACTAAGCTGGGACTATAAAAATCTACCCTTTTAAACTGTGATTGTATTTATAGTAATAATTTATTTATAGTATATAACAGCTATGAAGTAACAATGGTTTCATTTGGAATTTAGTGCTCTAAGGAGCTTCTAGTATGTGGACTTATCAGACTAATACATATAGATAAAGTGATGCCTTTAAATTCCTCAGAAGCATTAAATATTTGTAACTTTATCCTCTGATGTGCATAGATAATAGTCTATAATATTGATGCTATATTATCCCAAAGATTAGCAACATATGACATAGACAACACTCACCATCTCCTGACACATACACACTACTATCATGGATAGCACTTTTCTCTATTTATCACCTTCTCAATTTATTCTTTCTCTCCTGCCCAGGATTTAGGCCTGTAAGAAGTACTCCCAGGCATGATTTATCCTTCCTGGCTGCTCTCAGAGATTAACACATTGTATTGATCAATTTTCAGATTATACTTGCTATATTATGCTTTTACTAATGGCCTATGGATCACTTAAAATTGTACATAAATTGGTTAGAAAATGATTTAACCCCTTATGCTTACTTAGAAAATATAAAAGAATGATGTGAAATTGACAATATTTTAAAAATAAAATCAATAAATTTTACCTATAGGTGATCTGCTACAGTTTTTATCTGACCAATAAGAACAATTTTTCCATGGTAGTTCACTTTGAAAAGAAGCAAACATATAGTAAAGACTATAGGCAATTATGACATTGTAATAGATTGTCACAAAAATGGATATCAGGACCATTGTAATTCCCACACCTGAAAGAGATAATAATTAAAATGAAAAATAAACTCAAGTGAAATATATTTTGCTAATTCACAAAAAGGTTGCATCTCAATTTCTAAAAATATATTGTAAAATGAAAATATTTTCAAATAACTAAATTTTTTCCTTTTTATGCTGGGATAGTGGGAATTGATACCATCTGAGTAGATTTTTCAAAAAATTTAAAATTATTTTGATGATTGGCTTTCTACTAAGACAGATTTTCAGTTGATAAGAAAAAGATATTAAAGCCAAGGGCAGAAGATTTATATTAATCCTATCAGATTCATATAAAGAAAACCCATGTCTATCACTCTTTCTCATTAAGTCTGCAAATTCTTGTCAGAGTAGGCATAGTGGACATTCTTTAAACAAAACAAAACAAAACAACAAAAACCAAAAAACAATTCAAAGCTCATATCCTATTAACTTACTGACCAATAGTTACATCTTCATCTATAAATCAACATTTTGAGAAGTATAAAATGAAGCCTCTAAATTAATGACCTGAAAGGATCATGTACAACATTTCTACAGATATGTGTAAAGAAAATTCAATAATTCAGGAACAATCTGAATTTAAACTTCCAAAGTTTCTTTAACTCAGTAGTTTCAAAGTGCAGTTTAGCATGCTCAATATAACTCTTGTGCTTAAGACTAGTTTATGAGGAAGGCTTCTCTAACCTTTCAGCACAGAATTCTATTCACTTCATTATGAATTTTATTTTGATGTTGCAATGAGGCTTTTACAAATAGTTTTCAGCAGCTAGCACATAGCAAAATGATATTTAATCTTCAGATAAAAAGACAGTTTGATGTCTAATAACAATCAAGGCATTTTTAAACCTTTACCAGTGTCCTATCCTATTAGAAGAATCCAAGAAAAAATAGTGACCTGCCCTTCAACTTTTCTAAATGAGCATTGTAAAAGATATGCAAAGGCAGTAAGACAAAGATTGCATGTGAAATAGAAAAAAGCAAAAGCCTTGAAATTAATGTACAACAGGACTATGTGCCAAAAGAATTCAGAAAGTAAAACTAGGAAAATAATGACACTCTTACAAGTGTCATTAGTGTCCTTTCTAGCCCTTCTTATATTTGCAGCCCAGGATAAACAGAAATAAAAATTACCATTTGATTTTGAAATTCTACAGTGTCAAACTATACAGAAAAACAACAACAATGCATGCTTCTTTGCCTTATTATGTCATAATTTTAAACATTTTTTTCTTCTATATAGTGAAGATAGATATATGCACAAGTAGGCAATAATCATGATGAAGAAAACACTTTAATACCAACCTTGAAACAATGGAAGAATCCTCCAAACTGAAACTGGACCTAAGCTAGCAAATTGTCCCAGTGAACATTCCAGGAAGAACAAAGGTAAACCAGCCAGTGCTAGCATAATTGCATAAGGTATCAAGAAGGCACCTAGAAAAGGCCAAAAAGAACCAAATCACTATTACATCTCAAAATCCTGATGGCACTTTGACGATCAGCATAACATTTAAACGCATCCTGATATAATGGAATCAAGTGCTGGGTTTGGGCCTAAAATTACTTTCTATGAGAAAGTAGTTGATTCTCTAAACCTTATATTTCTCATGAAATGGGGATCCAAATAATACCTAATAAAGTCATTCTGATTATAAAAACAATAGCTTATACAAAGTAAGCCAGAGGAATTGAATGATGACAGGTTAAAATCCTGCCTCCACCATTTACCAGTTATGTGACCTAGGGCAATTTATCTAACCTCAGAACCTTGGATTCCTCATAAAAGAAGAGAACAATAACTCAGTGTGTGGTAAGGGTTCAAATACAGGGCTTATGTGAAAACACTTGGTAAAATGGTAGGAACATAGCACATGTTCAATGTTAGATTCCCTCCTTTCTCCTTTAAAAATAAATGGCCTATTTTTAAGACTTGGAGTGCCAATGCTAAATGTGGTTCAGAGTGCAAGTTACTACAATTAAGTTTCTTATTCTGCCTCCATGCTCTCATTTGTCTTCAGTGCTCCTTCTTTGCTTTGGGAAACTCAGGTAACTCTCAGCCTTTGTCAGCCTTTGATCTGCAGGTTCTGAAATGTCTGCAAGAAAAATCCTGGGTACCACAGAAGTCGCAAAATGGTCTTGTCGACTCTAAGCCAGACCTGATCACCTTTCTGGAGCAAAAAAAAGAGCCCTGGAATGTGAAGACAAATGAGACTGTCGCCAAACACTCAGAACTGTCTTCCCATTGCACCCAAGACCTATTGCCAGGGCAAGGCATAAAAGATTCAACTCAGAAATCAATAATGAGACTATATGGAAGCTGTGGTCCTGAAAATGTACACTTAAAAACAGCCTGGGAGAGTGTGGGTGAGTGTAAGTGGCAGAAAGTATGTTATCATGGTCTTACCCAATGTTTGTCAAATATCCATAGGAAAAACTTCAAATGTTATAAATGTATAAAAGTCTTTACCAAATCTTCAAATCTCAATATACATAAGATAAAACATACTGGTGAGAAAAGATTCAAATGTAATGAATTTGGCAAAAGCTTAAACCACAGCTTAGAACCTTCTGGACATAGGAAAATTCATACCGGAGAGTGAATTCATACCTTACAAGTGTGAAGAATGTGGAAAAGACTTTAACTGTTCCTCCAAACTTACTATACATAAGAGAATTCACACTCGAGAGAAACCCTACCAATGTGAAGAATGCGGCAAAGCCTTTATCTGGCTTGATGCAGTCACTCGACATAAAAAAATTCATAGAGGAGAGAAACCATACAAATGTGAGGAATGTGGCAAAGCCTTTATCTGCTCAGAGACCTCACTGGACATAAAAGAATTCATACAGGAGAGAAACCATACAAATGTGAGAAATGTGGAAAAGCCTTTACCCAGTGCACATACCTTACTCAACATAAAAGAATTCATAGTGGAGAGAAACCATACAAATGTGAGGAATGTGGAAAAATGTTTACCCAGTGTACACACTTACTCAACATAAAAGAATTCATAGTGGAGAGAAACCTTACAAATGTGGAGAATGTGGCAAAGCCTTTATGTGGCTCAGAGTCCACACTCGATATAAAAGAATTCATACAGCAGGGAAACCATACAAATGTGAGGAATGTGGCAAAGCCTTTACCCAGTGCACACACCTTACTCAACATAAAAAAAATTCATAATGGAGAGAAACCATACAAATGTGAGGAACGTGGCAAAGCCTTTATCAGGCTCAGAGACTTCACTGGACATAAAAGAAGTCATACTGGAAAGAAACTATACAAATGTGAAGAATGTGGCAAAGCCTTTATCTGGCTCAGAGACTTCACTGGACATAAAAGAAGTCATACTGGAGAGAAACTATACAAATGTGAAGAATGTGGCAAAGCCTTTATCTGGCTCAGAGACCTCACTGGACATAAAAGAATTCATACTGGAGAGAAACCATACAAATGTGAGGAATGTGCCAAAGCCTTTACTCGGTGCACACACCTCAATCAACATAAAATAATTCATAGTGGAGAGAAACCTTACAAATGTGAAGAATATGGCAAAGCCTTTACCAGATGCACATACCTTACTCAACATAAAATAATTCATGCAGTAGAGAAACCATACAAATGTGAGGAATATGGCACAGCCTTTACCTCATGCACACACCTTACTCTACATAAATGAATTCACACAGGAGAGAAGCCCTACAAATGTGAGGAATGTGGCAAAGCCTTTACCCAGTGCTCAACACTTACTCTACATAAAAGAATTCATACTGGAGGGAAACTCTACAAATGTGAAGAATGTGGCAAAGCCTTTATCCCGCACAGAGACCTCACTCTATATAAAATAATGCATAGAGGAGAGAAACGATACAAATGTGAGGAATGTGGCAAAACATTTTCCCAGTGCTCACACCTTAATCTACATAAAAGAATTCATATCACTGAAAAATTTTACGAATGTGAGATTTGTGGCAAAGTCTTTAATATTTGTTCACATCTTATTCCACATCAAAGAAATCATACTAGATAAAAGTGAGATAAATATAATGAGTATGTAAGTGCTTTACCAAAGTATTAGCCGTAAATTCCACAACAGTATACTTAAAGTAAAAAAATAATAATGTATACTGCTGACAATACCTTTAGTTATAACAGAGATCTTATCGAACATGGGAGAACGTACACTTAAAGAAATGCTCCAATATTTTCTACAACATTGCTCAACATCACAAAAATTTTAAGAGATAGGAACCTTACAAATATAATGAATGTGAAAAAATATTTATGCAAAAGATATACCTTAAAGAACAACAAACAGTTGCTATTTAAAACTACCTTAATAAATTTCAGCATGCAATTACTCAAGAATCAAGTCTAAACATATATCAGAGGACTCACAGTGCAATACACTCATGCACTAACATATTCACACATTTCTTTAAACCAGATTGTTGATTATAGAGAACAACCCAGTTAAAATAGTTGATTTATTTGTATGTCAGCTTTAAAAAAGAGAGAAATTTTATGAGAGTTATAATTAGATGTAAAATATACTTTCTGGTCAGGATTTGGTGAAAATGTAATAAAGTATAATATTTTTTTGCTATTTTTGACAAGCAAATACTGATATTATTCAACTTTAAATACAGTAGATGGGATACTTTCATTCTTAGTGTATATGTGAATGTATGTGGTTAATCATAGCTACATCACATTTCTTAGAAGTCTTTTTCTATTAAGTAGGCATTATTCATGTACTTTTCCATGGAAAATTAAAATTACTGAAATGTAAGATTTATGAAATGGACAGGTATTATGGAGTTTTCTAATAACAAACATTATTTTAAGTGATATATTATGTAGGTATACAGACTAATATTCTTCTCATTATAAGCAAAATGAAAAAATTACAATATGAAAAATTAAAAAAAAAGTTTCTTATTCTCAAATTGTCACAAGTCTCTTTACTCAATGTCAATAAGAAGCTTATTGGTAGGCCGGGCGCGGTGGCTCACGCCTGTAATCCTAGCACTCTGGGAGGCCGAGGCGGGCGGATTGCTCGAGGTTGGGAGTTCGAAACCATCCTGAGCGAGACCCCGTCTCTACTAAAAATAGAAAGAAATTAATTGACCAACTAAAAATATATATACAAAAAACTAGCCGGGCATGGTGGCACATGCCTGTAGTCCCAGCTACTTGGGAGGCTGAGGCAGGAGGATCGTTTGAGCCCAGGAGTTTGAGGTTGCTGTGAGCTAGGCTGACGCCACGGCACTCACTCTAGCCTGGGCAACAAAAGTGAGACTCTGTCTCAAAAAAAAAAAAAAAAAAAAGAAGCTTATTGGTTATGTTAGAAAACTCTGAACTTTTGAAACATACTCATAGTTAACTTTCAATTTCATAGGAATAATTCTCCCATATTATTCAGCTCCCACCCTTATAAACATTTTATCATTTTTTCCCAACTTTTGAGGCATGATATTGCTCATTAGAACCCTTATCAATTTGTAGATTGAAGCAGAGATAGAATACTAATCTTATTAATCAAAGATTCTAGAATTTGGGGCAAAGTTTAATAAAAAAAATGGGATCAGTGAATAAAAATGGGATTTTAGATTATGTACTTTTCATTTACCTGTGTTATAGTTTTTCCTCAAATATTATTTACATTATGATACTATAACATCGTACCTAGGAATTACATTTTTTCCCAACCCACGAAATATATTCTACTAAAAATGAAGCAATAAAGTACTTATTATATACTCATACTTAAGTGGTTTCGCTTTAATGCTAACCCTGGAAGTCACTAGGCCGTAGGGACAAATATGTTTGTATAGATGTTGCAATACACACACTATCATTGCTATGACTAATAGGAGTTTAAGTCCTACCAATGATAAATATAAAGAAAAATAATACAAAATATCACTGCTTAACTACAATAATAATGTTTTACCAGCCCTTGGTGGACAGATATTTTGGGAAGAAAAAATATTATTTTCTTCAGTTGTTATACATGACTTTTCACTCTTAATTTCATTATTAACAATAACTATAATTGATAAATTGTTAATATAGTGGTCACAAATTGTTAATACTGCTAGACATTAAAATGATATGACATTTCTCTTTATTTTATTCTTTTATTTGAGACAAAGTCTCACTCTGTTGCCTGGGTGAGTGCCGTGGTGTCAGCCTAGCTCACTGCAACCTCAGACTCCAGAGGAATCCTCCTGCTTCAGCCTCCCAAGTAGCTGGGATTACAGGCATGCACCACCATGCCTGGCTAATTTTTCTATTTTTCGTAGAGATGAGGTCTCATCTTTCTCAGGCTGGTCTTGAACTCCTAAGCTCAAGCAACCCTCCCGCCTCTGCCTCCCAGAGTGCTAGGATTACAGGGCTGAGCCACCATGCTCGGCTGACACTTCTCTTTCATAAACTGTTAAAAAGAATCTACAGATAAAAATATTTCCAGATTTTAGCTATAGTTTTCAAATCTGATCATATTTTTAAACCTGCTCTATTAACATTTGAGAAATGTGAATTTCATGTTCCTCTTCTAGCATGGGGCAAAAGAGAAGAAAGCAATTAAGAGCACCTAGATCATCCATTACCCAACTGATGTGATCTTTAAAACCTGAGAACCAATATAAACCATTAACTTTTAGAGGAAATTGTTGAAACATACAATAAATAATATTGATTTTTGTTTTGATCATATTTTAAAATTCTCTATTAAAATTAGTTTACTAGAGTCCCTAGAAATTTATGGCAAATACATACATATTAAGTCATACATAGGTCCATTCTCTATACAAGGGAATTTCTTATTCTAGACATGAGTACAAGAGGCTCTAAATAAACCTGAATGCTTCTCTTCACCACACTGGACTTAGGACATAGACATCAAAAAGAATATGATTTCTGATGCATTTTTCAGCTAACACTTATACCAAATCCATGACTGAACAACCTGGGTTCTAGATAGGGAATTTATGTAACCAACACTTAAAGTGTTTAATAAACAGAGCTCCTTTCTTAAGTCTCTGAAGGCCATTGTGAATGTTTTAATGCAATCAATTAACAAGAAATATAACATTGAAATATCACCACACAAAATTCTATTGTACCAAGAAAAATAATTATAGTGGCACAGTTTCACTGGTACCCAGTTATGAAATATATAGGCATGTCACCTCTATGCCTCTAATAGAACCTGTAATTACAAGTAAATAAAATATGGTGTAAGTGAAAAGTTGTTTTGACATTACTAGAGAATTATGCAATTCATTTTGTTTCCCTTTGTGTGTCACCTCAGAGTTATTTTTTTTTTCTCCTTCTTCTAATTGAGTCTACCTCAATGATCTACAAGGTATACACAGTATTATTTTTCAGGAATAAAACACCTATCCTCGAACTAAACTAAATTATTGCATTTTAGGAGGATCTTCTACATGGTCAATCCAATTTGAGATACATATAACCAAATATTGCAGCTTAAAATACTAAACCTTTAATTACTTTAAATCATATTTTTCCATACTTAAATCACCAAAATGTAATGCCTTATTGTAATTAAGTGAACAATTTATTTGGGCTTCTTAGTAGAACTAGATTTCCTTACTTTTTTCTTAGATTCAGCTAAAAATTCAGCAATGTACAACTTAAGTCTGAACAGATTATCACAGAAACATGCATAAATTAGGAAGAATAAGTCACAGTTAAAGATTACATGAGATCTCAAATCAGAAGCTCAAAAGTGTTAAATATAAAACTTTTATCAAGTGTATATCTGAGGATTTTGTGAAATTAGCTTTCTAACTTGAGCTAGTAGCTCAGACTAATAATAAATACAATATGCTCTTTCGCCCATCCTCCCACTAACCCAAACTATCATATGCTTTTCTTTAGCTTTTAAAATATACTCAGAGGCCATACAGCACCCCACATAAAAGTAGAAGAGAAAAGAAGAGAGGAGAGAATACCTCCGCCATTGTTGTAGGTCAGATATGGAAATCTCCACACATTTCCCAATCCCACTGCATATCCAACCATAGACAGAAGATAATCTGATTTTTTGGACCAGTTACCACGGTCCTGATTCTCATCATTTTCACCAACATGGAAGTTCTCTGATGAAGCTGTCACTGTCTGGGAAAGAAAAAATATCAACACTGTGTGTTTCCACTATTACAAATCCACAGGAGCATAATTTCACAAATCTGCAAAGTAACAGAAAAGTGGTGGCGTGGGGGGAGAAATTTTGAAAATCATGGCCAAAAGAAATTATTTTTAAGGTTAAAGAGATTTGTGCTGACAGCTAATTTTGCTTTATAACATTTACCCTTTGAATGAGAAAAGTTCTGTATGTAGATATCTTTTCTATTCCTTCAGTGGAGATCATCCACATTTTGGTGAAAAGGTTAAATGTTGCACCAGCTTGAAGGGTAAATGCTAGTGGACAAACCAGCTTTCAAATGCAAAAGTCTTAAAGATTAATTAGGTAAAATCAACATTCTTGACTTTGTAGCAGATCTCTAAGAAGAAAGATTAAATGTAGCTTCTGTTGGAAAAAAGAAAATCCATAGACATTTTTATGGGCTGATAGTTTTGGATATTTTGAGTTAAGGGAAGTTTAACTTCTCTGCCTTAGAGAGTAAACTCAGTGCTTTTCTAAAACCCACAGAATAATATGCAGAGACAAATTCTACCTTCCCACCAGGTGGAGCAGTTCTCTAACTACTTTTGGCAGGGGATTGAGGGAGCAGGGGTTCTTTTCCAAACTGTTAGCAGCTCTGGGATATGGAGGGTTGCTCAGATCAGATCAGAACCTGTACTTTTTCACTTCCCTCTAACATATGGACATAGTTTGGAGAGGGACAGAGAATAGGATTTTGTGGGTACTCACAATGCAAAGGATGAGATAGCCTTTCCCTAAGTGTTCCAGCTACTGGAATAAGCACTATTCACTTTTTCTGTACTCTATGGGGACATCTGAGGCACACTAGAATATAGTTGAACACAAATTTGGAAAACAAGGAGCAGCCACAGAGAACAAAAACAGACTACCCTCCAATTAAATTTTCCCTCCTCCAGCCCTCCACACCTCCCGCAACTCCCAGACCCATACCTCTTTTCCCCTGCACTTGAAGAAGCTGGGGCACTTCAACTTGTCCATGGTTCACTCACTCCCTCGCTTGATCCGCCTTGCCTCCTCTCGCAGTCTGGCTGAGCTTGACTGGTGGCAGGTGCACACTCCTCTGTTCCTACCTGCCAAAGTGAGCCACCTTGCCCAGGGGTGGGACCATTTATGAAGGGAAGCTCTCTCCTCCCCCTCCTGGGCACCCAGTCGTGTCAAATACCGGAACAGACCAAAGTGAAGCTCTGGTTTTTCCCCAGGTAAGCCTACATGTAGCAATCACCTGCCCCGGCCCCAGGAAAGGGCTGGGCTGTGAGAGAGTGGAGCAGCCTGAGCCTAGATGACTGACAGCCTTTGACTCAGAGCCATGCAGGTGCCTTTGCAATCTCGCCTCCTTTCCTGGGTTCCCTGCTTCCTCCTAATCTCGCCTCTCAGTCTGGTCTCTGTCCTGGGGCCAAGTGCTGGTTTCCTCTGGTGCTGGAGGAGGGTGGGTCACAGTCTACGGGGCCCATTCTGTTCCCTAAGATTCCCTGAATGGACAATACTGCCCTAGGCACTCGGATTTCCCAAAGTTTTGCCCCTCACTAGAAAGCACTTGATCCCCTCACACAAATTCTGCTTCCATAGGAAAAGCCCCTGAATTGCGCACCTTGAAAAGCAGCCAGCTGAGATAAGATTACCCAGCTGGCTCTGCCTGAAAAGAACGACTTTGAGCCTATGTCTCAGGCTCCTTTCTCAGCCTTCAGGACAGCTTTGCCTTTTACAGGGATTGCTTTGTGTAGTATTTCAAAGAAGCCAAACACAAACAAATTATTGAGCAGGTTTATGAGAAATTCTAGCCCTAACAAAGGACTCCACTCTGCAAGAAATGTGAGGCCTATAAAATAAACTATGAGGAAACATCCCAGCTTGACCAGGGAGGAAATAATTATTATATTGCTGTTTACCAATATAGCACCTTTTCATCAGAAAAGTCAAAGGATTTAAACTCAACCTATACAGGTAAGAGACGGTAGTGGCAGTTCTACGAAACACAGGACAAATCCAGGCACACAGAGGAACCAACTGATAGCCCAATTCTGTACCTTATCTACAGCTCTTTGTTCTCCACTAACTGACAAGAATTTTCCATTTGCAGTAGAAATATGCCCTGAGGAATCTGGGCAGGTAAGGTAGGAGGAAGTCTATAAGGGAAATAGAGAGGCAGTAAGGAGAAAGTATCAATACGTTTTATCTAACTTTGTCTTGAACATAACAAAGGTTGGCATGTGTGTGCGTGTGTGCGCGTGTGTGCGTGTGTGTGTGTGTGTGTGTGTGTGTGTGTGTGTGTATGTGTTGGAGAGGACAGTGAGAGCACATCAGTGTGTGCCTATTAGCATTATATACTACTGGCATGACTATAGGCTAAGATAAAGGAATTATTAGCCTGTCTTAGATGTAGGAGGGAAGGGAACTGAAAAGCAAATCTAATAGCATTTACCAACTTATCAAAATCCCACAGAAATAAAAGGAGTCCACCATGGGGTATTGCAAACAGTTGGTAACTGAGGGAATAGAAGGAGAACAGGAATCCTAGGGATAGAGAGAATATGGGGATCACAAGGCAGAGATGGGTGGTATGTAGTGGGAACAACCAGCAATTTTCCCTGCCTGTTACACAGTAAAGGGGCTTCTAACAACTTTGAGAGTTAGAACATCTGAAGCATAACATTTAAGATAGATATTAGATAATGTATTTGTTTCATTACTTGTTTTTTTGGAGGGAGTATTATTTCTATTGCATGAATGACTTTTTGTGATCTGGCTCCTGCCTGCCTCTTTAGCATCATCTCTTGCCATTCCCTGCCTCAAACTCTTAAGCTTGTGTATCTTTTCCTGTGCATGCACAAACATGCTGTTTCTCACCTCTGTGCCTTTGCTCATGCTATTTCTTCTTCTGGAAATTCCCACCCTCCTCTTCATTTGGCTACTACTCATCCTTTAAGACTCTGCTTAGGTGTCACCTCCTCCAGGCCTTTTCATAGTAGTTCCCCTTCTATTACCGCAGACTAGCTTTAGATGACTCTCCTCTGTATTCCTATGATACTCTATATTCTTTTTATATTGTGTGAAATTACTTGCTTATAGTCCTCGAGACTTCAGGTTCTTTGAGGGCAGTGAGACTGTCTTAATCCTTCCAAGGATCTAGCACAGAACCTGATGCAGAGCAGGCACTCAGTAAATGTTTTTTAGAACATTTGACTCTAACTGGCCATTTAATGACTTTATTGTCAAAAAGGGGAAAGAACAACTAGTCTAGAATATACCTCCAAAAGATACTGAAATATAAGGATTATGTTTCTCTTCTTTGGGCCCTGACTTATCAACTGATGAACAAATTATATTTATGAATTGCTTATTTATTTGTAACTTTGAAGAAATGTAGAAGTTGAAAGCACAAAGAGAGAGGTAACTACATAAAGTCAGTCACAAGGACATGAACTAGCATGGTGTGGGAGAATGGGAGAAGAGTATGCTAGTTATTGGACTCACAAGAAATAAGGTTGGAGAGAGAAAATGTGGCCATTCAATGTTCCTTGTGATCCTAGGCCGTGGTCTGAAAGGTAATACTAAACTGATTGATAACTTGGGAATAACACATGGAAAGCGTTGCTTTCATTGTGCAAAAAACCCTCAAAATTATAATTAATAGTCTCCATGCACTGGGTTGTACAATTCTGGACTTTTAAATATGGCCCATCTCTTCCTGGACACACACACCATAGCCATGAATCTGATTCACTTTTAAAAAACAAAAAAAGTAGTGTCATCAATTGAAAGGTTTATTTAGTAATAAGTCATTAGAAACCAAAAAATCAGCTTGTAACTGTGATTTTTGTCCAGGAAACAAAGTTACAATAAAAACTGATCTAATGGTCCCATCACATTTTCTTCTCTTCTAAGTTTATGCAATTAACCATAGAAATCCCTTCAGTCTTCTTTTTAGTGGCTAAAAATAAAGAAGATTCATTACCTAAGATTTCTTCTAGCTATTTGGATGTGTAGAATTTGTACAAATGAGAAGACATTTGAACACTCTCAGGAAACCCATGGACTTATTGAGCAACCACACAACCACACTGTTTTCCCTCCCTCCCTCCCTCCCTCCCTCCCTTCCTTCCTTTTTTTTTTAGAGTCTCACTCTGTTGTCCAGGCTAGATTGCCGTGGCATCAGCCTAGCTCACAGCAACCTCAAACTCCTGGGCTCAGGCAATCCTCCTGCCTCAACCTCCCCAGTAGTTGGGACTACAGGCATATGCCAACATGCCTGGCTAATTTTTTCTATATATTTTAGTTAGCCAATTAATTTCTTTCTATTTGTAGTAGAGACAGGGTCTTGCTCTTGCTCAGGCTAGTCCTGAACTCTTGACTTTGAGTGATCCGCCTGCCTCGGCCTCCCAGACTGCTAGGATTACAGGCGTGAGCCACCACGCCCGGCTAACCACACTGTTTTCTAGCCAACCACACTGTTTTCTAGCCGTCTCCTGGAAGAACTCTTTTAAACTTCACCAGCTAAAAGTCTGAAAGAATGAATCCTAATAGTTGGTCCACAGTAAAAATAATATAAATTCCTGTCATAATAAATGTGTATACATAAATTTTGCCTTTAAAATTTATAGTTTCAGACATTAATCACTTTATTTAAAAAACCATATTCTTAGCACTCTGGGAGTCCGAGGCAGGTGGATCTTTTGAGCTCAGAAGTTTGAGGCCAGCCTGAGCAAGAGTGAGACCCCCATCTCTACTAAAAATAGAAAGAAATTAGCTGGACAACTAGGCTAAGATATACAATGTAACCCAAAGGTCAAAAAAAGGGGGAAAAACAAACAAACAAACAAACTTTTATCAGGTGGTGGGCAAATGGGAGGGGGAAGGAAGGGAAGTATTTACACCTACAAAATAGGTGCGATGAGCACCACCTGAGAGTAGGACATGCTTGATGTTTTGGAGGGGTAGGGAGGAATGGCAGGGGCAATATATGTAACCCTAACAATATTTGTACCCCCATAATATGAAAAAATAAAAAATTAAAAAAAACAAGTGAATTAAGTAAATGTAAATAGAATAAAAATTTATAAATGAACTTTTCAAAAATAATTATATTTTATAAAATATGTCTATTTAATGTTTCAAAAATATTTTTGTAACTTGAAATCATAAAGTTACATTAAATTAAGTGATATTCATTAAAAAATAAAATAAAAATATATATAGAAAAAATTAGCCGGGTATTGTGGTGCAATGCCTGTAGTCCCAGCTACTTGGGAGGCTGAGGCAGTAGGATTGCTTGAGCCCAGGAGTTTGAGGTTGCTGTGAGTGAGGCAGATGCCATGGCACTCTACTCAGTGCTGCAGAGTGAGACTCTGTCTCAAAAAAAAAAAAAAAAATTAAAAAAAGCACATTCAACCCATAGCCAAAACATTAGCGAATTATTTCTAGAAAAGTTTGCTCTAATTATAAGAAACAAGACTTATTTAAGAAAGACAACCATATAGACATTCTTGCTGTCAGCCAAGGAGGTAATGATTCCCTAGCTACATCAACTAGTGCATGGACAAAGAATGCACACACTGCTTTCCCACAGAATATAAAGGACAACATGCCAAAGAATCTTGAAAAAAAAAGAGCTCTAGATGCATGATTTTATACTGGTTCTTTCTAAACAGGGAAAGTAAAGATGTTAAGTTTTATGTTCTTATTAAATTAGCTATAGTATACCATAAAGCTTTTTAAGTATAAAGTTTATATTGAGGTGTGACGTGCATACCAAAAGTACACAAATGATAGGTGTACAGCTTGATGAATTGTCACAAACTACCCACTCCCATACAACTAGCAGCAAGTTCAGGAAACATTACCAGAACTCCAATAGTGGCTGCTGACTGATCAGGGTAGTGGTTGCTGAAGCCTGGGGTGGCTGTGACAATTTCTTAAAATTTGTCACATCTACAGATTCTCCTTTTCATGAAAGATTTTTCTGTAGTATGAAATGATTGCTGTTTGAAAGCATTTAATCTGCAGAACTTCTTTCAAAATTGGAGTCAATCTTCTCAAACCCTGACACTGCTTTATCGACTAAGTTTATGGAATTTTCCAAATCCTTTGTTGTCATCTGAACAATGTTGCACAGGATCTTCACCAGGAGTAGATTCCATCTCAAGAAACCACTTTCAGCTAGGTGTGGTGGCTCATACCTGTAATCCTAGAACTCTGGGAGACCGGCATAGGAGGGTTGCTTGAGCTCAGGAGTTCAAG